GAGGTGGAGGCACCTCGGAATGATTGTGTTAAGCTAGCACTAAGTCCCTCCCCCATCCACCTTTATTCTTTTCCTTACAATAAGGCTTTCAAATAAGTCATGGCTGTACGGCAGTGAAGCATTGGTGTTGAGCACTGATGTCATGCTGTCGTTGATGATGATGATGCTGTTGGTGTTTACTGTGACTCGCCATGTTGCGTTCTATCCGTGGGAGGCCTCACATACAATCATGTCCTGGAACAGCGTCATACACACACGACGCCATCTTCGTGTTCAATGACGCCGTCAGCCGACCAGTGGTTCTAACCACGGTTACTGAACAAGGGATGCCCCACAAGTTAGTGAACATAATCCGGCTTCTAAATCTACACTCTCCCGAGCGTAAGAGAGCGCGTCTTTTGAGAGCTTTACCACAAAAACTGGTGTCCGGCTAGGATGCTCATTCTCTTCACTTTTGTTCAAATTCATCGGTAAAATAATGAGGCAAACGCTCGTTGTTGGTAAGAACCTTGTCCAACTGAAGTACGCAGTCGACGTCGTCTCAAGCCCTGAAGACGAACATAAATCACACGCACCTTTGAAGAAACTGACATACCATCTTCTGGCATGTGCCTTACAAATTCAGAAACATTCATCGGACCTTGCAACCTCTGAAATTTAAGAAACACCGGGTGTTGTATATGGTCTACGACACCTCAGAAACCAGTGCGGGAAACTCGACAGCATCATTCGTGGTGTCAAATTTGTGGTGCCCCTAGGGGTCAAAGGGTCACACGTACCATGACGGCTGTGTTTAGATGCTGTAGGTGCGGTCCACCCCAAAATATAGGTGTAGGGTACTCGTTGACGCGTGCATTTTTGGCGACTGGTGTAGCTATTGGGCTCACCAAACCCTCAGTCACCACCATTGGCCCAACCTTTCCAACGTCATAATGACTGAGAAGTTCGGTATTAAAACTGAGGTTGCTAACTGCCAAGGAATGGAAAGAGAGAAGGCATTCGTGTCAGGGTTATCGTTACTAGACGAGAACAAAAAGTTAACCAATCGTACATAACTGACAGGTGGGTATGATGATGGGCAGGGGGAAGCAAACTCAGTGGTCGGAGACTTGGGGCAGTGTGGATAGGAACGCAGCATTTAAAACATAACCAAATATCACTGGTAAACTAGGTGAACAGCGGACCAGCAACTATTCAGGGAATTTGACCCGCTTGAGGTTCGAGTCGGATGCTGGGGTTGCAGACGCATGAGTCGATGCGTGTTGAGTTCGAGGCGAAAAGCAGAAACAATATCGACAATTCCCCCCATAGTAAATATGTGCTTTCATCAAGCAACCAAATGCTATGGTGAACTAGGCTGACGAAACAGGAATGAAATGAGTCGAGCGCGTACATCGGGCGGGGAAAGATCAATGACTCGTTGAGTGATTCAACATGGAGCGAAAGAAAACCATTAGCATGTTAATAAAGTAAGCAACGCATTTCCCGCGTCGGTACACCAGTGGCGAAAATAACGCGTGACATGCAAACGTCGTTTTCAAGTTAGGAGAAAACGTCGGAGGCGCAGAAACGGAGTAGTGGATGTTCTAGCGTGAACAAATCGCTTAAAACGGGAATTAGGAAACCGGTGAATATGTTGAATTTTGGCTACAAGTGAGTGGTCATCATACTGAGGTGGTGTAGATGTGACAAACTCCATCTGCTCCAGCACTGGCAGCCAATGAAAATTGCGGATGCAAGGCCACTGTGTGAACGGCTTCGTTATACTTAGTCCGGGGATTAGTCATTTCTTGCACGCAGGTACGGCTGCCCAAGTCCCAAACTCGGATCGATGCATCATGACCTGAATGGACGAGGTAGATCGGAACGAGTTTTAGAAACTGAAAAATCAGTCGAAAGCATCAGTTTGCTACAAAAGGCTTGTGCACTAGAACAGGTGGTATGGATCTAATATACAGAATTAACTGGCATCCTCAGACGATTATTACTGAAGAGAATCCTAGGAGACGTACAATATCTGACATGTTATGACTTGCATCTATGAAATGCTGTCATCGATTAGGCGCTAGCTCGCCTAGTTTTGCCAGTGTTAACTTCGACCCTTGTTGTCTTTGACTTACCAGGCAGAAAGGAGATAATTCAGTGATGGACTCATACCCTGTTCAACACCTAACTCGCAAAACGGCTTGCCACCGGCGGAGCCCGAGGTAAGACGGAGAAATGGAGGTGACAGCATATAACCACTAGCCCTTTCTGGGTCTGACGACATCCATTACGAACCACTAGAGCTAGCCAAAGGATCCTGACAGTGCAAATTCTGGAATCTGTTTCCAAGTGAAAAAAAACTATATTACACAAGAAAACGTCACAACCGTTGATATGTTCCAGCGAGATTTCGCCTGCACAGGTCGCAGTGGTTTACAAAAGGCACCAACCTACACACAAAACTCATTGGCTTATGGGTGGCTGGACGCAACGCCAACGTTGATGGACTGATTCAACAACATCTAATCAAAGAATAGCCCGTTAAAACCTAACATCCCAGAATGTACGTGAGACAACACCTTGGTGCAATCATGTTTGCCTGTGCATCTGACGTAAGTGAAATTAATATGCCATGGGTTTGATAGCATCAAATAATAAAATCACACATTTCCTCTAGGAGAATTCGTACTGAAAACCGTCTAGATAGCCGCACATTCGATTTGTGCAACACACGAGCGACTGACAATCAAGCAAACCGTGTCCACATACTGTTCAACTTTTCCGGTTCAACACTGTCTACTAGAACCATGCAGGTCGTCACAAAAACACTATTGCTTTCTTGCTCGGGCGTTAAACTCTACACTAAACCGTCAAGTACATTTTGAAGTTACCTACTAGCAGAGGTTTATACAGACCAAAAAGTTAGTGTTCTACTGCCACAAACCGAACATGAATAGCAAATAACTCACTTCCAGTTAGCAAATATAAACCGAGTGAATCTACCGCCAGACTGCTGACAGCATCACCATGTGCAACCATTTGGTCCGTACAAAAGATAGAACCAATTGCAGACGGATCTGCCGACGGGACGCGGGGGTCGTAAAAGCGTACATATCCATCTTCATGGGCTCCAATCAGAAGGGATAGGGTTGCATGTGAGGCCAGGGTGTTAAGACCACTTGGACCCCATCCTCTCGGCAAATCTGTGAATAGGATGCGAAACAGAAGTCAACCATGGTTGATGAGATTCAACGTCCTCTGTGCGGTGGACACTGAATGCAAGCGGGCTACCAGGATGGCTGGGAACACATTACTAAAATGCATTTCAGTAATAATAATCCGCAGACGTTCTGAACTCAAACGGGAAACCATGGATAAGGAGTGTGAATTTCCTATAGGGCGGACTAAACATCTATGTGAAACAGCAAATAGCTAGTGCGCTGTACCTACGGTCATTTCACTTAATGCTGAGACAAGTCGCAGTGGTTCAGACAATCAGAGGGATTTATGGACAGCGAAACTCTTCCAATGAAAAACCCTATCGCTAATCGTCTTCTGATATGAACCAAGATAGGCAGCAAGAAGTAACTGCAGAAAACGTGGCAAGACGGTTCTGTCTAGGAAACGAAAGAGTTGATCCAGGCCGAGTAGCACGCTGATGAGCATATCTGTACCCAAAGGAAGGTACAATCACAGCACTGGTGCGGCCCACACCAAGGCGCATTTATTGCCATTGCCACAGTTTGTACTTCCCCTCTAAAGTAGAAAGACATGGAATGCAGATGAATAAATGCTGGGGGGGGGGGGTTGGACCAGTCCGGCGTGGACATCAGTGGCAGGCAACACGAGAAAAGAATAATGCCCGATTTGTTGATGTGTGATGCAGATATCGAGGGCTGTGATGCGTTTGCACCATGGACTGCCATGTGACCGCATCATGTCTGTCGATATTCCATTCATAGTCAAGGCGACTGCGTTTGCTGGTTACGGCTTTCGTTCTTCATTGTCAAGTCATAATTAGATCGGCTTCGAACAAAATGGATAGACAGAGAAGCGCTGAGAGGTAACCAGTATGCAAACCACATGACCCGAACAGAGCAACCCACCGGCTTGTCTATCGTGCTACTTTTAACAAACACATTCGGCCGACCTTAGCAATACTAGTCCGATGTTCCCAGTACTGACTCCGAAATATTAGTGGTCAAACGGTGAGGAAGTTCAAACATCTTTTTGCATCTGAAAGGTTTTCCACCTAATGGATGTCGTGAAGGCGGGTGGATGACCCGATAGAGTGACTGACCGGAATACACTTAGCAAGTGAAAACCTGAGCAGCTGCATATAGAACAAACCAGACTTACTTTGGATACATGCAGGCGAGGTTTCACGCTCCTGTACAGGAGGGCAAGAAGACACTAGCTGACCGGTTTGGGAATCCAGGAGGAACAGCCACCCAGTGCTGGTGCCCACAGCCAGATGAGTTGCATTCTGGGGGTCCGGACGGTTGAGGAGGTAATGTAAACAGGTGACCCGACCAAGGGGGAATTTGGTCAGGTCTATTGGAGGTGCGATAACAAGGAGGGGAATAAAGAAGTGGTACAGTCGAAGAGGGAGGTTCAAAGTTCCAAACAGGGGACTGAAGTACATACTGAATGTTTACAGAGAAACAAACAAATCAAGGCAAGCAAACCGCCTGAAGTGAGATTGTGAAAACTTGTTCATAGCGATGCCTGGTAGTGTCGTCCAAATCCCCACCAAACATTGACCTTGCAGGGTACAATCAACTACGAAGGTGGAAGGAATTCCGATCGGGAACACCCTCATAATCATTGACAGCAGTACACCAGCGATACACACAGGTGTTTAACTGCAATACAACTTTGAAGGAAGGAAGCCTCGGTAAAGAGGAGAATATGGACCTGGTGGGAAGAAACTGTAAGTTCTTGGGAATAACGATTAATAATGAGTTGCATACATCGTCTTCATTTCACTTTCCCATATTATGACCTGCCCTCACAAACACTTCAACTGAAGAAATCATTCAGCTGTAGCACCCTAACGGTGGCTAGCTGCTATGCCGCCGGAATGAAGCACGGGGTTTGGGATTCTGTCAGGTTGCCAAAGCCTAGACAGGGAAAGTCGAGAGGCGGAGGTCGGGTTCGAACCACGGGCCTTCCGGTCAGTAAATTCACGCTCTAACCACTCAGCCATGTTGCCCGCCAACAACTACTCGGAAGGGAAAACAACGCTCTCTTCGACAGACGGCGGTTAGGCCCAGATAACACACGTTCCAACCACAACCCGGCAAGTTTAATCTGCTGCTTAAACGAATCAGATTCGCTAGCAAGCACCCACTTACGCGTCCATTCGTTACGCACTCGCTGCAGCCAGTTTTTGCCATGCCACACAGAGGCCGGTGACGATATAGTAAGACCACGCCTACGCTTGCCTTGTATACAAGACTCTAACTTCAGGGAAATTCGCTTCTGACGCCACAAATGACGCAAGCTGGCGAACGTTTCTCGCGCTTTGATTATTTGCGCTCTAATGACAGACGGTGTTCCGAGGCCGTAATTATGAAGAGCGCCTTGAGGAAGAGCATTACTGATCCGCAGAATATCTACCATCCTCCTGCCTCATTAGCCGTTTTGCGCCGCTTTACCCAAAACACCAGTAGAGGAACAGCAACCAGCCAATGAATAACGGCAATATCCCAAGGCCAAATGAAGTATTGAGTCATTTGTATACAGACCCGTACTTCTATAGGCTAACGTGTCCCGCCTACATGATTTGTCAGTAAAAACAGCGACGTTAGCGCCTATCAAGTGAGAGTAGGTCGTAAAGTGGTTCCAGACACCAGTTTCAATTACCGATGACCATGAAGTTAGCAGTGGAAGTCTTCATCTTGGTACGACAGTACTGAGTGACTACTGTTAGTGTGTAAATTATTCATTTCGCGATAAAAGCATGCTTGAATAGTCACTATAAGAACCAGACTTCGTGGTTTACCCTTGTCTTCTGTTTATTAGGCTTGGAAGTGGGCAGAGATAATAAAAGCTCCGTAAAGTCAACATATGGAGAGTGACTGCCAAACGGCACCTGCCAGACCACCAAAAGTCCCTGCTTTTCAGAAAAAAAGTAGTGGTATATCCAGTCATCAGGGACTTACCAAAGGCTGAGCACTGTTCATCAAGGTGTATCACATTACGTGGAGTTGTACCAACCTGGCCAAAAACGAGTGACCAAAATTCAATCGTGTTATCCGCGTGAGCCGCCACCAATAACGGGTTTGCGGGGTGAATAGCAACTGCCCAGACGGCCGCAGACGAGGAACCTATAAATCGAGGTTTGAAATGGTAGAACAGATCAGATAGGGGCCGCGCCGAAGTCAAATGAACGCTAAACAGAAATAATGCGAATCTATTCGGAAGAAAGGAGTATGGAACATTTCTACGCAACAACGGGTGACAACATATGAGGCCGGGTCTTCATTGTCTTGGACCGAACGTCGAAGGGAAACAAGCTGGGTAGATGATTGGACAAGTACTGGAAATCGACAGGACGGGATCATATCGGTGTACCTTACGATTCCAAAGAAGACTACTGGCAGATAATGTGGAAGGTATTTGAACTAGCCGGAGCCCGAGCAGTGAAACTTCCCGTCGCCAGATATACTCACGTCATGAACCTAATTCAAAAGTAGACAGTGCACAGATGACTACTACCATTAACGCCCCCGTCATTACGGAATAGCTAAGGAAAACCCAATAGATTTGTAAAGGTGCTCCGATGTTGATGTCAGAGCATAGGAGACGATATACTGCTCCATCTATATTGCTCGTTTTTCGCGCACTCGTAACTGACGTGTGTTCTACCCATTGAAATCGCATGCCTGTTACCCCTCCTGTTGTAATCCAGCTTAATAAGAACGAATTAACATTGTACTCAGGAAGTTTGTTACAATGCACAACCCCAAACATACCAACCGTCTATCTCGTTTGACCAATATACCACATTTCAGGTAGAACTTGTCTTCGAGGCGAGCTGGAAATAATTACATTTCTTCACCTAACATACAAGAGGGAGATTGTTACCAATGATTTGTCGAAAATAATGAACAAACAAACCACAAATAACGCTGTATGGTCAACTGTGCTGTTGAAAGCCAGGAACATGCCACTACAGTTAATCAAACCATCTCCAAAAGTACTCTTGACAGCAAACTGTACTTAGACCACCTGATGTTAGGGGGTGAAGTTTATACGTGGGAAAGTGGAAGAATGGAGATGCGCATAAACAAACTTGTTCGTGAGTGAATCTCGATTAGTTTAGGTAAATCCTACGACACCCGTCCTAATTTGACTGAATTCACGCATTTTACATCGCGACCGTCTTATGAACTATACTCACCATCTTGACTCAAAAATTCTAACAAACGGCGTGGGACCCGCCTTGTTGAACACCCCGGTTTCTGTGACCTGGTCGTACAACGTGCTCCGATAATTTAATATTTGGATTTCCAGTATTGATTTGTGGGCTCATTTGTTCGTCCGTAAGGCGACGCCAAGAGTTTGTAATGGTGTTATGTGCACAAACTGTCTTCATCTTTCATTGTTGTTCGCATATTCATGATTTTTCTGTCCGACTTAGTTACAACAAGTAATGAAGCCAAAGGCCGACGGTGAAATGAATTCATCAACATGTGTTGACATTGATGGTTCACTGCCATACAACCATAAGATACGTCTAATTATGTATATATATATA